CCCAAACCATTTTCGTTTGAATATTTAACTACGAGTCAATCCACAACAGTCCTTTAGACTAGTTACTTTCTAAAATGCTACGGAATAGGGTTTTTAAAGAAATTGGTTAACCTGAAAGCCAAAGGGAACAGAGAGATAATCCAGAAAAATCTAGATAGGATCAGATTAACATTTTTGTCCAAAAAAACCAATGCAATAATAATAACAAGGGAACGGTTTTGTCTAAGTCGTGCTGGCGATTTGAAAGATCTTTGAAGATCCAGATTGATGGCAAGCTATCAATCTCAAGTCAAGAGCAGAGTCCATTGGAGATTGAAGCGGAGACAAACTTGCTCCTGGGGATTTCTGGGCACGGTGGCTATGGTCCAGCAGCAGTGACACTTTGTCGCTGCAGGAAAAGTTCTCCTGGACTCCAGCCTAAACCTCAGATGCAATGTGATGCTTGAGCAATGGTGTCAGGCCTGATTGGGTTTCTCTGCATCGTGGGACGTAGCGTACCTGGGTTGCTCAGGGTGAAGTGAAGTGGGAAACGGGCAGAGTGTCTCTAGCGTGAAAAATGGCCAGACACCTAGAAGAAAACCGACGTTCCTAACGCTCTCGGAAGCAGCAAAAGTGGATAGATAGGTGCACGAGCATCTCTAATGCCATGTAAGGGGCATATAAAATATCTGGGTTCTCTATTCAGTATCGGCTGAATTTCAACTAAGGAGATGTTAAAGTAATGTATTGAATGTTATTGAACTTCATGACATTATGTTGAAAATGGGCAACATTTTTGATCTCTTCAAGATGGGGACGGGAGGCATTGGCCCAGAGATTGCAGTTAGGTCCGCTTCCAAAAACTCCAGGCTGTAAGCTGGACTGGTCTGCTGGAGAAAGCTGCTGTAGTTAAAGCTCCCCCCTCTTTTTTTTTTTTTTTTTTTATGTCTTTCCTTCTCTCTCTCTCTTTTTAAACCATTTTAGTTAGACCAGTGCCAAAGTCTGGATAAACAAACACGCTTATTTTCATTTAAACCAGACTTTTCTTGGCGTAGCTTTTGTCAATTAGGAACAGATTTCCCCTAAATTGAATTAAACCACTTAAACCAATATATGTCTCTAGAAGAGGCTTTGCCCTGATTTGAAATAGAGCTACATCGTGGGTATTAATTTTGCTAGGCACTGTCCCACATGGGACTTTGCTGCTACGATACCAGCAGTGCTTGAACTACAGCAAATACGAACCCTGTTCTGACCAGGAGATGGCAGCCACGATACGCTCATGAAGTCTTCAGAAGCCAAAACCGTTTTTGTCTGTATAGATAGAAAACAGCGCTTTTTCATTTAATGTGAAGATATGCCCCTTTTTGCAAGGTGTGAGCAAGTGCTAATGACAAAATAAACACGCTTTTAGTGTCGCTGGCCCCGGCTAGCTAATGCAGGTAGGTAATGAGAAGTGCAGTTGGATTTGTAGCTAACTGCCCGATTCACGGGGTTTATCTGGTAGTGATTTAAGACCAACATGTTGAAATTCAGGACTCTTCCCAGCTGTGGTTTTAACGCTGAATGGGGAATGAGACAACAGGTGCCGTCGTTGTCTCATTAAGCAGGCTCATGCTATGAAATAGGGCTACATTCAAAGTGATGCCATTAAGACCATTTAAAAAAAAATTAAGCTTGAACCTAAAGTCCTTGCACCCTTAGGTAGAGTCCATGGTTTAAATAATATGTGCTTGCATGGAGACACATGCATTTGACATATTTCTAGCAACTTGGTGAAAACTGCCTTTCAGTTGCCTGCTCCTATTCACCTTCTAGTCTTGGCGTTTCGTTTCCCCGAGACCCCAGTAGACGCTGCAGGTGTATTAGGGGTGTGGGGGAACGAGGCCCATCTTTGTGAAGCTTATTGGGGGAACAGGTTATACAGATAGGGTATTGTGTATCAGGCACCGCACATACCACTGTGGTAGGTTGGACACAGGACAAAGACAAATGCAGAAGGAACAGTTGCCACTGCATAAATTAAGATTGCTCGGCTTTTCTAATAGTCCTTTAAAGCTAAAGGTCAAAACCTTTAGATCCAAAGTGTTGCCGATAGAGGGAGTAGGAGAAAGCAAATTATAGGAGGTATATCGATCTGTATTTTAATTCGTGCCGTGTTCCCTTCAGGGCACCAATGCGCTTTAGGTCTCAGCACAGTCAATTAATTGCAACGTTTTCCCTCCCGTTGGCTGGGGTTTAGCGAGTTCCATTTTTACCCTCTGGCCGAATAGACACGTGTGAAATTAGTTTTGCATACCTGCCTTGAAGACCTGGCCCTGGATCACATCAAAAGAATGCTTAATTTGTTTTTGATGGCTAGGTACACATGTAGGAACAAATAATTGAACGAGTCAGAAGTTCAGATGCGCAGTGAAAATGTCACCGTTTGGTTTAGCTGCCGCCACCTGCCTATGAAAAATGCATCAGCAAAGAGTGCCCTATGGAACCAATCTGACAAGAGACCCTGGGATGACACGAGCTTTTTACTTCCTTTCACCGCGCTACGATGCAATAACTCGTTTTTGTTCTTGTGCAGTGAAATATTCCCTTGTAGCTCAAATTCAAATTGGAGAGACATCAAAAGTTAATATGAAACAAAAATGCAATGCAGGTATGGGGAAGAAACAGAGAGATACATTACTTTGTAGCCACCCCTCACGCCCAAATTGCAACGCCACAGAAGTCGGGAAGCCACGCTGGGCTCTTTGTACCCCCTTGGCTGGTGAGATTGTTTTTCATCTAAGAGCTTTTTTAAAGTCTTCCTCCTGCCTCCTTATTTTTAAGGAATAAAGAGCTAATGTAAAGACACCGAGTGTTATGAAGCGTGAAGTTCTATAAATATTTATGCCGAACTACAAAAAAAAGTTGACAATTCTTATTTCCTTGACATATTGGGGTCGTTTGGTTTTTTTGACCTCTGGAATTGAAGAGCACTCGGAGTTTTACCTCTTTGGAATAAAACTGGAGATCTCTTAGCTCATCCGGTTATGCCCCTTACAAGTTACAGCAGACTTTATTTCATCGCTGCTTTATGAATATGGAGTTTGAACTTTACTCTGTTACCAAAAAAAAAGCAAAGCAAAAAAAGTCCTACAAACGGTTGGGTCTGTTTGTACACTGATATAACCTGGCAACTGTAACTGTGTTCAGTATTTGTGCACAAGATAGCGGCTTAATTTATTGTACAAGCATTGGATCCTTTTGGGTTTGTTTCTGGAGATGGAGATTTCGCACAGGTGACATTTATGCAGATGCACTTCCAGGGTGCTCGTTTTAAATGGACTTAAATACATGAGCCCAGTGCAGGAAGAGATGGAAAGGGGTCATGGGTTGGGGGAGCACCTTATCTCCCATATTCTGGCACCATAAGGTGGGATAAGGGGGTCCCCCCTTATTTCCCATATTCTGGCACCATTTCACAGCACAATTTAGAGCGGCCCCAGGACGACTCTAATCTTCTAAGGGTCATTGCACCAGTACACTCTGGGCACACCTTTCTGCCTCAAAGTCGGGGAAGGAGGATGATACAGAGCCAGTCCATGAGATTTGTACCAGAAGGGGCATCCCATCAGGGGTCATTCCTACCTCCTTTGCACTGCTGATGCTGTATAAAAGCACCTCAGTAGAGGGTAGCATCTAGTCCTTTATCGTTAGAGGCCCTGAGAAAAAAAAACAACCAGGATTTTCCTGATGTGACAGCTCTCTGACAGTAATATGCTGCTCCTTGCCAGCTTCCATTGCTGTGGTTGCCCTGCCATTTGTAGCCAAGTGAGCTTGTTTAAACCTAGCTTCAGTACAATCTCTGCATTGCAGCGTAACCTCCCCAGTGTAGCAGGTGCTTACATATCAGTGTAGACCTGTCTGCCTGACTCACTTGGACAGTCAGACCCAGCGTGGCCTATTAGTACCAACCTTGGGGTATAACGTGATCCACTTGAAGCATCTTTATAGGAACAGAAGAATATTGGAAGGAGAAGCCTAGGAGTAGCCAGACTCAGGGGGAAACTTGGGATGAACCAAACGGGATGGGGAAGGAAGAATTGAGGAACTAGCCTAACAAAGATGGGTACTGTGTGGGGTTGGGTGTAGACTGGCTCTGTTCATACAGGTTACACAAGTTGCTTCATCTCCAAGGCAGGATCTGTCAGACCCCAAAGTTATTTTGCCCACATCTGTTGTACCTCTGCAGCTGCCTTAGTTACAAAGACACCTCCCAGTCCATACACATACAACGCTCAAACCAAATTAAAATATTTATGATCTAATCAAGTCACTTTAGGGTGCATCTACACATGCATTAACACAGTTTAGTTAATGCGCATTAAATCTAGTACCTCCATTGTGACGTACTAGGAAAATGCTCATTAGCTTGTCTTCATGCATGTTAACTAAAGAGCACGGTTTTTAAGTGACGATGCACATTAGCCTGTTTTAATGCACATGAATGAAGTAGTACATTTTTTTAGCGATACTTTAATTCTCATTAAAATAGGCTGATGCACATTAAAGCACATGTGTGGCTGTACCCATAGATCATATGCATCATGTGCTGAGTGGTGTCCATCCACAGTTAGTCACTAGAGGGCACAGTATAACTGGCCTACCTTGAAAACAGGAGCAAATTGTTCTAGAAAAGGTCCTCAGGTATCTGTACATGTTCTAACACTGCGAAAGATTGCCAGGGCTTTTAAAGAAATGTCCAACCTTTCCTCTATTTTTTTTACTGACTTCAGTGATTCCCGACTTAAATCTACTTCTGCTAAAACAGCTTTCAGAAGACACTTCCGTTGATTCACTTGTGTAACACGGCGCTATGGGACAGCGGGTTCATAAGCATCTTGCCAATAGCTTTCAGGATTGGCACACAAATATACAAGCCGTTCCCTGTTTTGCAGACATGACTCCTTGGAAAGGAAAAAACAAATTAACTCAAATGGACTCAGAGGGATTTACAGGTTAAATGTTTGCTGTTTTTGCAGGTCGCCTGTCTAATACGGGTTCCTTCCGAAGTGGTAAAGCAGAGGGCTCAAGTTTCGCCTTCATCCAGCACCTTTCAAGTGCTTTCCAACACTTTATATCAAGAGGTAAGGTTTTTATCAAAACTTCTGAAGCGTAGCTGCTCCAAGCCATTTCCCAGCCCTGTGCTGTCTGTTCCTGGGAAGTTTTGTGCAACTATCCTGTTGCTGAGAACTGTTGGCATGTTATAGGGACTGGACTGTTAGCCGGCTAGGCTCCTTTTCTTAATGTTTTGGGTCAATGGCACTTAGAAATACTAATCAAGGCTTCCAGTTTCTTCAGTGCTCTTATCCAGTAACCCAACTCTCTCAAATCAAGCAGTCTCCTGTTTTCCTGACTGTTGGAAGCAAAACTCTCCCCCCACCAGAGCCAAGGTTAATGAAGCATTGAAAGTTTTCATGCGGCTTACAGGGGGAGGTACGTTAGCATATTGCTAATGGCACTGCATCCTTTCTGCAGGGCCGATACCTGCGTTTGGAAAGGCCGTGTCTTTCACATGTCTATTTTGGATCCGGGGAGAGGATCCAAAATGGAGAATTTACAAAATGGCCTTGCAAAGCACTGTTCCTTCACTTGATAATGCAAAATCCATCCTCATTCCCTCTTCCCCTCCAGCACCTTGTTAAGGCCACTGAAGAAGGGATGAGCTGAGCAGATATTTGCATTTAGCTGCACTACTTCAGGAATAAGCACCTGGAGAATAAGGTAGTTGCACTGAGGCACATCTTATACCAATGGATCGCTACCTTTTTACACTCCATAACGTTTCTGAACTTAGCTGGATCCCATTTCAGAAACGAATTTCACTCATCTTTTGACTGTGGAAAAATACTAGAGCAATTCTGCTGAAGAACTTGGGGAGACCCCAAAAGTCAGAATGCTTTTAACGGTCTGGATTCTGTATTTTTATCTTGTCCAGGTGTTTGCCCACCGGACTGGTCATGTTGAGCAGCACCCTTAAAAGGATCTTCCAGCACATTGGCTGAGAAACACGTCCTTAGGCACTTGAATAAGTCGGTCATCGTATTTACTGGTGGAGTTAACTTTGTTGCTTTGAATGAAAGCGTTAAACAGCATTGGCCTGAGCTACCCAAAACAGCTAATGCTTTTTGGACGCTGAATGCGATACCGGTCTCAGAGCGCCCGTTCTTTTCTTCCCTACTCCTTTTTTCAATCTGACCCCTGATCTATAAAAATCAACTGGCAGTGGAAATACTCTTTTCAGAGCACTGGACAGGGAACCAAACCCTGATGCGTACATGTCATGCCTTTTAAACATTTTGGATGCTGTGGTCCTCCAGCTAAGAACAAAGCATTGAAAAGTCTTTCCTGATGATGGTTCTGAACCAGAGCAATTAAGAAACCAGACATCCAGCCAGATTGTTATCCTAGATGCCTGTTTTGCATCGGCCGCTTAACTTGAAAATGCTGCTGCTCTGCTTTATGTATGCATTTGGAGTCGGGGATAACTTCTCAACCTCAGCTATGCTTGCCAAGTATTAGGCACACAGAGTTTGAAATAACGTGTTTCTGTGCCTTCTTGCCCTCCTAATACAAACTCTTAGGTCTAGTTTCTTCTTTGTGTGAATGGATAACCCATTATTCCTCACAGTGGTTAAACACTCCTTTTAAAAGGAAGATAAAAGCCTCTAGTGTCATCAGTCCTGGGATATGGTGCTATAATCAATATAATCTATTTGTTTTAGATCTTCCACTCAGGCTGTAATACCTGCTATGTAATCATCCATAAATTGCTGTCTTTGGCTACCTAATTCCTTTTAGCTGAAGCTGTCTTTTTTGTTGGTTTACAGGGTATTCGAGGACTTTATCGGGGCTATAAAAGCACAGTATTAAGAGAGGTAAGACAATTGGTTTCTTTCCCACCCTCTTTTCAAGTGCTTTTGTTGTACTTTTCCTAGGTAAGCTAAACAGCTGGAACCACACACCTCCAAATATTTCATTCTAGATAAGTGAACTGTTTGGGGAAATAATGGGAACTTGGAAGCTATGCTGATAAAGTGCATTAGAAACTTCTGGGACAGAGGTGTCTAGTCCTGTACCTCTCATGCATTTTTTGGATTCGTTGCTGAACAGATGTAATATGATAAAGACATATACGTTTTGCAAATCATTCAGTTTGGCAATGCTTTATTTTGTGAGGTCTCGTTTGCCCTCTGCTAAGTGCAGAGACAAAGGGTGGTGCTAAGTCTCTTTTCCCCGCTTCACAGCAGGAGCAGTGGAAATTTGCACCATGCACAAATCAAATGTACATGAAAAGGAATTTTAAAAAAATGGTCTAAATTGTGTATGCCCAATTTGTTCTTGCTGGGATTAGCAGGTGCTGATGGAGCCTGAACTTGCTTTCCCAGAGAGGTGCCATTTTATTTTTGCTATTAGCTGTAGCTTTGGCCCTGATCTTCTCATTATTGGCATTTGTGTGATGCCCTACTGCAGCCACCGTGAATTCTCCATGAGAAATCTGCCAATGGGAGTCGGACCGTGGGGTTGTGGCCTTTGGGTCTCTGATTTTTAGGTTTTAGAATAGATGATGTGCATGACTTCCTTACAGCTTTCACTTGGAGAGAACAAGGAGAAAATGAACTTCTGTGCACTCCTTAACAGTAGGTTTAACCAGAAAACCTCGTCCTAGGTTGTAACATATGTTAACATTTGGCACAACATCTAAATTAACCAGTGCATCAATAGAGGAATTTCATTGTGCCCCCCTCTTTTAAGCTGCACTTCAAAATCCCACTCCAAACTTGCTCCATGCAGCTGTCATTTTGCAATAGTAGAAACTGCATTGCAAACACTTTAGATAAGGGAACAGGGATTGGTTTTCTGTGAAAATAAGACAAATACCTTTCAGAGTCCTTGTTCTTCACATGCTAGGATCAGTTTGGTATGGCACGTGGTTCTGTCCTTAAGTTTCACCCAGCTAAGTAATCAGGGTTGGATCTTTGCCCATTTAATACTAAGTCACTTCAGTACCAGTATTAAAAGAAAATTCTCTTGTTGCCGTTGATAGTGACGCTAGCTACATAAGCATTTAAAAGCCTACTTTCAGCAGAACTCTTTGCTTTTAAAATATCTCCTTCATGCCCCTAGCTGCATTCGGATCCAGTACTATTACAAGTCAGGATAAAGATGTATATTGCATAAGATAAGAAGTCCCAAATTTCGTATTGCTTTAAGCACCCGCAAATGGCAACGCTGGAGCTTATTTGAGCAACTCCGAATGTTTCAAAAATTAGTTACTTGTGTGAAGATGACACCTGCTTTTCCAAAACATAACCCCCACCACGGCTTCATCCTGTACTTATTTTCCGGCTCACTAAACGCATGTTATTCACTCAGATTTCATCTGGAAGCAGGCAAAAAAAAGGGCAACAAGCCTTTTTGATTTCTCCGAGGGGTTCTGAATAAATGAATAAATTTCAATGCCACCGAATACAGATTTTGCATACCACCAGATAGATAAAACACATGGCTACAACTGGATGCTGTTCTCTTTAAAATTTGTTTTGACGTATGTCAGGATGGTAATTAATTTCCAGGCCATTCTCCTAGCGCGGGATGTGACCCTGCCGAGATAACTTTGTTTACTCCAAATGGCAGCCCCTTGTTGAATCCTTAATTGGGGTCCTTTCCATTATGTATATTCATAAAAGATCCTTCAGAACTGATTTCAGTTGAAATATTGCTTTTTTGGCACATCTGCCCAATAGAACGAGAAATAAATTATTGCCAAATGAAATGTGGTTTCTCTTCAAAATGAAACAAATCATTGGTGATCTGTTTGCTTAAAAAAACCCCCAAACCCATGCATTGAACAGAGTGTTAAGACTATCACATTTTCTGACACTAAATACCACTCTCTGCAGTGCACTGTTTGCATAAAAGCAGCATATTGAATCGCGTAGCTGAAACAAATGCACATTCTTGATATTTTCCAACCCCCCCTAAATGCATTTCTTCCCTTCTTCAGCAGAAGGTCTTTATCCTTGGATAGGAGCCTGTGTTAATTCATTATGGGAGATGTCCATGTGACTCTCTACTTTGGAGCGCACCGGCATTCAATTCTTGCCGGATTTGGATGCCTGTGGATTTTGTTTGCATGCTCCAGGTGTTTTTTTTCCCCCTGTCTGCAAAGCCATTTGGTTAGCGACACTAAAAAGGTATTTTGTAGTATATAGGCTTCAGTAATGTGGTCTAAGAAAGGCTGTAACTTTTACTCAAAAATAAGCCTTTGCACATAATTTATAGTGGGGTTCAGAGTCTCTCTCTTATTTCTGGATAGCCTGCCCTTCTTTCAGACCCTTTAAATGGACAGTTCAGGTTTGCTGGGCACAGGCCTGGTTGTTAGGGAGGGAAAAGAGCTTGAACTAGTGCCATGGTCTCTCTTGCCATACCATGTCCCCAATCTACTGGCTTTCTTTATGCCTGTGCCATCCCTTTGATTTTTCATAGCTTTTTCTCTACTCTTCTGTTTTCCCCATTCCCCATAACCACGCTTAAAAAAACCCAACCCCAATTGTTTTACCATTCTGTGTCTGATTTGCACTCTTCCTCTAATTTTTTTTGCCTTCTTTTATGCGTGCCATGAAGGAGAACTTGAGAAAAAAAATAGTTTGTATATTTAGTGCTATGGGAAATGTCTTAGCTTGGGGGAAATTTCAGTGGATGAACAAAATTGCTGCTTAGCAGACCCTCCTTTTATAATTAGGGACATATGTGTGCTTTTCTGTCCCCACAGCCTTCCCCTTTGGTTTCAGTTCCTCTTCCCTCTTGTGCCTAATACCTTTGACTTGATTTTGCAATCAGAGGGAGAGTAGGTGCAGTGCAATGGTTTTATTCCAAGCCTGAGGACAGTAGCAGCCTGGAAGACAGTCCTGCCTTATGGAAAGAGCTACAAGACCAGAAGGAGAGTCCAGCTGCTCCGGGAAGCTAGTCTGGGTAAACGGCACAATAGAAAAGGCTGAGAAGATGCAAGCTTCCCATGATGTCATTTCAAAGTCAAAGCCAAGTGAAAAATCCACTTTCCCGTGGTAGCAACACACCATTTTGTAGAAACAAGGCGGTGCTACTCACAGCCGGCAGGAACGATACGTTTCCCCCCTCCACCACTGACAAATCCATTCGTGAAATCTCCAACCCTCCTGCAACAAGGCAGAAGAAAATATCCATTGTAAATCCTCCTGAAATGCCTTGATGGGAACTATAGTTCTTCTGCGGAGGCTTTGCACTAGCCGGCTGAGCCAGATTTTTAATTCTTGCATAATTCTTTTTATTAGCTGTGACCAAGTTGAACATCTGTTAAAATTCCATAATGTGAAGTTCATGGGAAAAAGAGGAAAAAAAAAACCCCCGAGTTCTTGCTGGAATTTTTCCATTTGCATTTGCATTGCAGGCTTCTGACAGATGTCTTAAATGGACCCTGCTGTTAATGAGAACACAATTCCAGTGAAAATGAAGTGCCTTGTCCAATCTTGCATTTGCCGTCACTCGCTGCACAGCTACTAATTTCACTCTGTGTGTGTTTGCGTGCATATTATGGTTTTGCAGTAGCAGGGGGAAATACTCCTTTTGTTGTAAATTTATTACAGCAAAACAGGCACAGGCAAAGTGCTAAGTGTTTTGTTGGTCTCTGTTGAAACAAATAAGGCTGTTTCTAAATATGGGATAGCTGGGCTGAGTTTGCAAATGCTTTTTTCCCTTATTTCACTGCTTGGCTGGAGCAAACAACTTCAGACACCTTCCCCATCTACCAAAAGCCTTATGAGAATCTGCATAAGACCCTGAGCAAGAAAGAGGTGGTTTTCAGCTCTCTTTTTACTCACCCATAGCTCCAGAGACTTGCTTTGAAGTGTCAAATCGGGGATGTGAACAGACCTGAATAGCCATGCATTGTCACTTTGTACTTAACCTTGTCTGAGAGAGTTTGAGATTCGGATGGGTGGATCACCGAGTCACTGGAGCCACCTGTGCAGATCTGATTGCAGGACAAGGGGGCTGGGCTCTGCTTGGGGAAAAGAAAAATGCCAGGGAATTCAAGTCCCCTGATGCACAGCCTGCTACTGGCTTTCCCTTCAGAGAGCTGGTCAGTGCAGGCCCAGATGCATTTGAAGTAACTGAGTGCACAGATGTGTCACGTGTACAGGCATCCTGGGACTGGGAGGGAAGAGCAGGTTACAGCTCTAGCCCTTCTGGGGGAGCAGCAAAGAGGGGATGTTCCTGCAATACTGAATGGTAGCACAACTATAAAAAAAAAAAGAGGAGCAGCTTTTGTGGGGGGGAAGGAGAGTATTGCCAGACTCCTACAGCTGTGGATTGTAAGTAAATCCCTTATGGCATAGAAATACTCAGCTGTGTGTGTATGTAGTAGAAGCAGTATTTTGTTGCAAGGTGTAAACTTCTGGGCCTGGAAAGGATGGGTTATGGCCTCGGAGGGAAAAAAACCTAACCGAGCTGCAAGAAAACAGTGTAAAAGGTTTGAAAGAGTTTGTTACCTGGAGGAAGGCAAAGGTAGAGCCTGCAGCAGTTGAAAGCAAAAGGATGATTTAGGAGACTCACCTGTTGCTCGCTCCCAAATTTAAAGTCCCAGCTACCAGAGGATGCTGGGAAAGGCTTGTATAAAAGAGGGGGGGGGGGGGCAAGAAGTGGTTGCTTTTCTCTGGGCTCAAAGTCTAGTCTAGTAGCTCTTAATTTCTTAAGGTTCAAGGTGCCCCTAGTTTGACTTGGGGTAATTCTCCATGACTTTTGTGAATTGGGCAGCCCCCCTTTTCAAAAACAAATGTGCTTATTGCAGTGTTTACCTCTCTGCACTGGAGAAAGCTATAGGTGTTTCCTTGCTATCAAC